GCGGGCCAGCTGCTCGCGCTCCGGCGCCGACAGGTACCGCTGCTGCCTGAAGCGGCGCTCCAGCTCCAGCGTCTGCGCCTTGGAGAACAGCACCCGCCGCTTCTTCCTCTTCTCGGCGTCGGAGCCCGGGGACGCGGGCCGAGAGGACGCCCTCTGCGACGACTCTGTCGGGATGGTCTCCAGGCTGCTCTCGTCCGAGGCTAGGAAGGTCAGAGGGGGCGCAGCCTGGTGAGATGCCAACCCCCAGGGCGTCGGGGGCTCAACAGGGCTGGCGCCCCCGATCGCAGGCGGCTTTCAGAGAGGCCACTTCCTTCTTTGGGTTCACAACTGGGCACCCACCTCTCCGAATTCAGTGACCTCATTCTCAACCACAACAGTAATCACAGGCCTGAGATCGTGCCCCACCAAAACCTACCCCAGGGGCTTCTCAAACTGGTAGCAGTACTGGCTAGCCAGTTGCTACCACAAGTTGGGACACTTCCAGGTCGACTGCACCAGCTTGCCGGAATTTCAAAGCCCTGAATGGGAACATATAAGGGAAATGTTTGAAGTACTCCGACCCTCAGCAATCCCCAGAAGCGGAAATCCAAGCGCCCGCGCTAGTGTCAGGTGCAGGAGCTACTCTCGGGATGAGCGGGCCTGGACGCCTGGCGTAGGGTTTTGAGGAGGAAAGAGCCTCCATTCCCAGGCCAAAGAAACCCAGACCCTAGGCTGGGCTCCCGCCTTTCCTGCCCCGCACAGGCCGGTGCTGGATTCTGCTCTCCCTCCACTCCCACCGCGGTCCTCCGTTCACTCACAGGGGTAGTGGCCCGGCTCCGACTCCAGCCAGGCTGCGCAAGGGTCGGCCCGGGGCGCGCGTGGCTGTGGCTCCCGCCTCGGCCGGTGCTGCGCATCCTGCTCGGGTAAATTCAGGAGGCTGCGCACGGTGAAGCTGAGGCGTCCAGAGGTGGCCATGGCCGAGAGGAGGGGAAGGAGGCGGGGGCAGGGCAGGCTGGGAAACCGGGGCGGCGGGGGACGCCGCTCCTAGGGCGGACGTGAGAGGCGCTCGCCTTGAGCTAGCCGGGGGGATATTAGCGCATTTACAGCGCAGTCCCTGTTTATATAAACAGATCTTCCCACCCGGTCCGCTTTGAAAGTCGAAGTCGGGGTCTCCAGGGTGTTAAGTACCTGAATGAGTGCTGAACCAAAGCCTGGGTGCGCGGGGAAGGTGCCACCTCCGCCCCCGCCACGCCCCGTTCCCCGCCCCTCGGTGCCCAGTTACCTCCCAGAGGCTGCAGGAAGCAGCCTTAGGCATTAGCGATTGTCTGATTAGCCTAAAGTGGGGACAGATAATGGGGATTGTTGCCAGTGAATAACATCTTGGGTGGCAAGCGGTGGCCACCACCCTCTCCTCCGATCCTCTGCTTCCTCCTCCTCCTCCTCCTCCTCCTCCTCATCCTAGGCTGACGCGGGGCCTGGCCCCTCAGGAACGCTGGGAAGGGTGGGGGCAGTATGGGTGTGTTTATGAGCACCCTGGAATTTATTCCCTGTTTGCTCTATTCCTCTAGTTTGTTTACAGGAGTGGAGTTTCCCCGCACTTATCCAGAGAGTGATTTACAAAGCTGAGTTAAAACTCTGGCGCGCTCTGTTTTGGGTAAGGCCCCCTAAGGATGAGAAGTTCCAGGTACTCACAGAGGGGCCTGGCCCTGCCCAGCAAAAAGGCCGAGGGTTTCTTAACTGATTGGGACCCTCCACAAGCTCCAGACACTGCCCTTAACCGCTTCCCTACCCCGTGCAACCTCAGGGGAGCTATGAAGAGGTGGGAGTCTCAGAAGAGCCTCAGATCCGCGCCAGGCTCCTCAGGCCGGCAAGAAGGAGGTGACCTATAACCAAGCTATTCAGGTCCAGACAGCCCAGCCCCACCTGGCCGCTGTGGGTCGCGGTACCCGGCCTCACTATCCAGCCTCCGCAAAACTGGACTCAGACCCATTCTAGGAGCCATGGATGGCAGTGTTTCTTAGGACGTGTGGCTAGAGGGCTTTGAGGCTTCTCTTGCGTCTTTGGAAGGTCTGGAACCCTCTCTGCGCCTCAGCGCCAGTCTCAACCTCACTGTCGCGGCCTGGGATGCTGCCACGGCGGGTCACAGTATCCGGCGCGTGGTCTGCGTCCCTCCTCCCAGCGCTACAGACCCCAGCGAAGTTGCCTGGCTCTATCGAAGGGGAGAATTATTAGTACAGGACCCGCCCTGCAGAAAATAGGGCCGTCTGGGGTTTCTCCTGGATCTTCTAATCCCCATAGCCCCACCAAGACAATGATCCATGAGGGAGGCACAAAAACCCAACGAATTCGGATACATTTTGTTGGTTTATAGCTTCGCCCTGGCAAAGGTTCAGCCTGTGCCATAGTGACCGTTCTCAGAGGCCTCTTGTCCCGCCGCTAGTGCTGTGGGTATTTGGCTGCTGAATTTTAACCATGGGTGCTGCAGTTGGGCGGCTGCACCTGAAATCCTCGCTGTTCCAATGCTGAATGCGAACCTGACTTGTGGCGGCGGGCGTGGCCCACCTAGCCCACAGCACCCTCTCCGGCAGCTTCCCTACCAAGCTTGCCCGAGGAGCCCGGGACTGCGCTGCGCGCTGGGTGGTCGGGCGGAGGCAACCCCAATACAGGCCAACTGCTAGGCCGTGGACAAAAGGGAAATGGAGCTCGACGCCCCGGACCTGTTGGAAGCATTTGTTCCAGTCAAGATTTTGCATTTGTTCAGTCCGGAATAATGCGTGATTGACGCTTGCTCACAATGAGCTTTAGCGCGCTGGGATAAATCGGAGCTTGTCCGGTGTTGTCATGGTTTTCAACAGGGTTCAATGGGATTGGGAGCACGATCGACTCTGCTGGCCGTCTTTCCGCGGCCCAGGCAATAGATTTATTAGTTATGTCTTTTTAAATAAGATTAAATTGAAATGATCGTGCTGTCCTCTCTGCAGACAAAACAGGGAGGGAGCTGGTGATGGGGAGGGGCGGGTGAGTCTCGGAGAAGCCCTAGGATAGAAGCCCGAATTCATGTCTGAAAGTGATCAGGGAGAGGCCTGTGAATGGGTTTGCGGCCCATTTCTGCCTCCAGCTGCAGCTAATCACCTCATTACTCTGAACGTTTTCTCCTCCTGGTCGGGAACTAGGTTTGGTAATTCCTAAGAGTCCTACTAGTTTTAGGATCTCATTTCTCTGTTTTGTTGTTGTTGCTTTTCTTTTCTTTTCTATTTTCCTAGTGATGTTTACCTAAGGACTCTTGAACACCTTCTTTGTGCATCTCTTCATTCCAGGCTACCAGGACCCTGGCTCCAGCTTCTCTAGGAAGTTCTAGAAGAGCATGTGCCATCTTTTGAGTTTGCCAAGGACCCTCCACAGGCATGGTGTGAGGCGGATAACACTTTTGGAGAAAGAACCGAGTCAGGAGAAGCAACAGAAAAGTCTTGCCTGGAGTGACTGACCTCTCTTAGCCTTTTAATCTATTTAACATCCTAAGACCACACTGACGTGTAGAAATAAGTAAATGGCACTCTTCAGTTCTTAAGGGCTCTTCAGTATCAAATATTTGCTTTTACTCTTACTGTTTGGCTGCCAAAGCAGAGAGATACATCCTCCATCTAGCAGTTGTGCCCTGGGGAAGACTTGTCTCTAGTATTAGCTCCAAATTTCACATTCCTTGGCTTGGGAACAGTGTTTCTGGGCACCAGGATATCCCAGGTACATCTTGTACTTCTTGGTTCTAGAAAATGCTAAAATTTCTCTTTGCCATCTTTGATTGCATCCTCCTTAACACTTTTGCCATAGTCCAGTGTTCTTTCTAGTTCTGTTTGGGGGCTCCAGACAATTGCTCCATATAAACGTTCTGGAGAAATGGAGGGAAGGAAGGGTAATGCCAAAATCACTAAGGTACAGTGCTCTGTTCATTGTCTCTCCACATCCAATACAGTCAAAGATTTTGAAGTAGGAAACTGTTTTGATATTGAGTCAGTAGAAAAAGATAGTGGAGCTATTCATAAGTTTTTACATATTGGATATATATATAT